TGGCACATTATCAAATGCTTTCTGAAGATCCAGATACACCAAATATACACCCTTATCCTCATCTACACATAGAGAAACCTTTTCAAAGAACATCAAAAGACTTGTAAGGCACAATTTTCCCTTAGTGAAACCATGTTGACTATCCAATAAAATTTCAAATTTTGTTAAATGGCTTTGCAAAGAATCTTTTATAAGACTTTCTGAAAGTTTTCCCACAACTGACATAAGATTAATGGGCCTATAATGATTGGGACAATTTTTATCACCTCCCTTGAAAAGAGGAGTGACATTAGCTAACTTCCAATCTTTTGGTATGTGCCCACTATTCAAGGACTTACAAAAAATAAAAAAATAGTGGCAAGTGGCTCCCATATCCAATCCTTAACCTCCTTCAGAACCCTTATGGAAATATTATCTGGCCCAGGAGCCTTATTCTTTAAACTTCCCAATTTTTTCTTAACAAGCTCGGAATTGATGCAGTAATCTTGTTTCCATATATCAACTGTTCAAGATGTGGAATAATGCTTAAAGTATTGTTAGTAAAAACTAAAGAAAAAGCAGAATTAAAAAAAAACAGTCATCTCATAATCATTATATGAGCCTTCCTTTATCATCCATCAAAGGTCTTACTCCCATCTTAGCATTTTGTTTATCCTTAAAGAAATCCTTACTGTTAATCATTACATTTTCAGCCAACCTTTTCTCTTACATCCTTTTTGATGTCCTAATTTCCTGTTTCACCAAAATAAGTATAAATACAATGGTTAAGACTAGTGTAGGAGTTAAGCATTCACAGTTTGTTAGGTGTAATGGGTGCAATGAATGGGTTTTATTTGGGAACTTGGGATTGGCATGTACTTTTAAGGAAGCTAGTAATGAAGATGTACAATTTTTATGTAGAGTTTGTAGGTTGGAGGAGAAGTTGGAGGCAATCATAATTATAGTAAAGGCAATAAATAAAGTGAAGTGTAGACTGTGGGAAATGGCAGCAGGATTTAAGGAGGAGCTTAAGCTTTTACATGCATGGAATACATCAGCTAACAATGACTTTCAGGAAGTTTAAGAGAGTACTATTAGGGTTAAAAGTAGTGGGTTTAATTGTAATGAACCTATTCTATTGGGTAACAGATTTCAGCCCTTGGCTTCTACAGATGAGGAACTATTGGAGGGAAGAAAAACAAAAGGGTCAGAGAAGGATATGGATGAATAACTTAAACAGGTTATAGCTATAGGTGATTCCTTGACAAGGCACGTGGATAGAATAGTCTGTGGGGTAAATAGGAAGAAAATAATTAGATTATGCTACCCAGGAGCAGAGGTGGAGGATATAACTGACAGAGTGGGAGATATCGTAAAGGGGACTAGCAGAGATGCAGTTTTTGTTGTGCACGTAGGAGCTAATGATATAGGAAAAGGTAGGTCAGAGTAGCTAATTAAGAAGTATAAGGGGTTGATAAAGGCATTTAAAGAAAAATGCCATAACTTAATTTTGCCTGGAATTCTGCCCAGAATTAACTGTGGGGATGAAGTTATAAGTAGGTCACTAAGGCTTAGGTTAGTATGTAAAGATGAGCAGATTGGCTGATTGGACTTGTGTGATCAGTTCAATGGAAGAAGGGAGCTTTTTGGAATAGATGGTTTACATTTAAATAGGATAGGGGCTGGTTTGTTTACTAGGGCTATTAACTTAGCTGTAAGGGAAGTTTTAAACTAGGATAGAAAATGGTTAAGGCCAGGATAGACTAAATTCAAAAAGAATAAGAGGCAGAGAAAACTTTATCATAGGAAATGAGTATAGAAGTAGTTATAAGATTAGGCTTAATTGTTATTATTGTAATGCTAGAAGTATAAGAAATAACATAGACTTTAGAGCACTGGTAGGAATGAAGGATTTTGATATACTGGGAATAACTGAAACATGGTTAAATGTAGATGATTTTGATGACAGAAATTTCTTTGAAATACAGGGTTACAGGTTATTTAATAGAGATAGAGTAATAAAGAGAGGGGGAGGAGTGGCTTTATGTGTAAAATGTGAGGTGCATCCTGTTGAAGTTGAGGATATCAAAGATAATAGCAAGGAGATTAAATCCATTTGGGTTTCTATTAATGGATATAAAGGGAAAAGGCTCTTAGTTGGAATTAGTTACAGACCATCAAATGATACTGATGAAATTAGTGAGAAACTTTACAATGAGATTAAGATTTCAGCTGTTAATGAAATCATAATTATGAGTGATTTTAATTTCAGACATATAGAATGGGAAATGCTAGAGTCAAACCATGAGGGAGAAAGGGTTTTGGAAACTGTTCAAGATGATTTTCTTCACCAATTGGTCAAGGAACCTATTAGAAACAATGCTATTTTAGATTTATTGTTAACTTCAAATACAGAAATGATCGAGAGGGTGGAAATTGGGGAACATCTGGGTGCAAGTGATCATTGCTCTATTAGGTTCGATGTTTTGTTGCATATGAAGATAAGGAATAATGATATTCTGGTTACAAATTTCAAAAAAGCAAATTTTGAAGCAACAATAATTATCTCTAGTGAATTGGGCAGTTGAGTTATTTGGAGACACTGATCAGATGTGGATAATTTTGAAGGATAAATTATTAAATATTCAAGGTAAACATACTTCTTATAGACAGAAAAGGGTAGCTGCAAGTAAAAAACCAGGTTGGCTCACAAAGAGTATTAAGAGATAAAAATTAAAGAAAGCATCATAAATTTAAGAAATTTAGATTGACTGGTATGATGGGAGATTTAGAAGATCAAGAAAGAATCTGAAAATAAATATTCAATACCAAATACAAGTAGCCTAATGTTTAAGAACCAATTATTTTTGTATCACTAGTTTGTCTTCACACTAAAGTAATAAAGTTTATCTTTAAATATGTAGAACTTTGGAATAGAACTTAATAATTTATTAGAACAATATAAGTAACATTAATAATAAAATGTATTTAGCCTGATTTATATTATAACTTACTTATATCTATAAGCTGAACTGATGGATCTAAGTTCAAATAAACAAATTAATTCTTAAAATACCAAGAGACAATAAACTAGTTTTTAGATTGTACTTATTTAATAAAACAATGTATTTATCCTTTTTTACAATTTAACAGTAAGTTGAAATATACCTAAGCTTAAAGTACCATTATATGTACTAAGCCTATTTTTAACATTATAAAGAAGGATAAATTATATTTTAGTATTCCAAGCTGCAGTATAAAGTGTACACTGTAGACAAAGTATTTTGTTTTTGATATACCTGAATGTTGATGGTGTGTTGTAAACAGAATTGTTTTGTAGATTTAGTTTATAGTCCAGAATAGAAGGGCAGAAAGGCACTGCATGACCCACTAAATCATCACGAATAATGACTACTGTTGCTCCTGCTATCCCTATGTTCTTTTGTGCTCCAGCAAAGATGATTCCATACTTAACAACAGGAAAAAATAAATATTATTGCATAATTGAATCTTATGAAAAAAAGTTAAAAGTTAAGAATAATTAAAAACAAAAACATCTTCTATAAAGAGTAAACACAAAGCATGATGTAAAATACATTTGTTTTACATCAAAAATTAGTTTTATTTCAATAGGAAATTAATATCAACATTTTTTTATCTTAAAGTGTCAGACCAGTGATAAGCTTTTATACAAGTACTTGACAAATAACTGGGAGCTATCAAAGAACTGCTTGGTAAAAATTGTATTTTGTTACCTCTCATGTACAAGCTCAGAAAATAAAAAACATGATTGGATGTTTAGAAATAGTTTCTTTCCTATAATCTTAGCATTTTAATTTAAAATATTAAATTGTTTCATTTTTTATTTATGAGTACATTACGTTAAAGTTTCTTACAATCAGAGTTGACCTCATATGAAAAAAATACAGAATTTCTTGAACATAACAATTTACTTTGCAGTTTATTTACATATAGTTGTGATTGACTTGAATTTTTTTAGACATTTTTAATTGATCACTAAGCTGATTTCAAACGTTGAAAAATGCATAAAAGATAATGCTTCATTTATTTATTAATGTTATAGTTTCTTCTTGTTCTACTATAAAATAATACATGTTTTTTTGTCTTTAGCAGGAAAATATATTTTACCTTGGAAACATCCACTGGCTTTGTCAGTATGTTGGAAGACATATCAGTAACTATTGGGACATCTCCAGTTTCAGGGATAAAATTAAATTCAACACCTGTATAATGAAACCATTAATACTTTGTTAGGAAAGTTTCATTTACTGATAGATATATAAACAATTCACAATACTAACTGCTGGTTCTTTACTGTATAAAAACAACAGTTTACACACAATTATCTGTTAATTCCTTTTTTTCACCAAAATGTTACTTATGGTGAAGAAAATATTTTAGGTTATTAGTTTTGAGTAAATGATTACACATCTAAATTATTGATTTATATATATGCAATGACACAACAGACTTTAAAAGTCTTTTTTGTTTTTCGAATTGGAAATTGGTAAATTTTCTGTAGTTTTAGAAAATATTTAATGCAATAAGTAGCCAAAATAATAAATTAACAAAATTAAGTTATGATATGTAAAATAATATGTATATGGCATTTCTGCTAAATCCTTCAAAAATACCTTAAACTTTTACTATAATATTTAAACTGCTACATACCATGAATAGTTTCATTTGCACAAAAGTAAACATACTTAGCATCAGGGCTGAGATTCCAGGTACTCTGATCAGGAATACCTGGGAATATGACAATCCAAATAACAGAAAATGATTTAGTATATATAATCAAATGACGATTTATAAAAAATATAATCTACATTGTAGAATTTAAAGTAAATAAGCTTTGTGGAATGTTGTAAAAATATATTAATAAATTCTATAAACAGAAAAAATAGAACAAACACAACTGACATACTCGCACATACATTCTACATATTTTTACATATCTTGATGGAGCAAAGGATTCAATTATACAGTATTGGAAATATGTATGGAAAAAGAGGATAAAGTGTGTATATAATGCAAATTATATTAAGCAAATATGCACAAACATAAGCACAAGACATAAATACAAAGACTTTGTCCAGAACATTAATTTTTGATATGTGAGCCCTTTGCTTTATATAGAACTTCTCATTGTGCTTTTATGCTCAAGTACAGTTTATCAAGGAAGGACTATGCAACGTTGTTTCAAATACCCTGTAACACTTTTCACAATTCTTTCAAGTTGTTTGGTTATTGTTCAATTTTTTTTTAGCATCCATGTAAACCTATATGACCTTGATGATGCCATGGCCTTCACAAGGCCATGGCACCTTGATGAATGTTCCACCAGCCTCTTTACGTTCCAAATAGATTAGCTGTATGCTTGGGGTCATTGTCATGTTGAGAGATGAAACCCTGCCAATGGAGACAGCTTCCTGAGAGAATGGTTTGGTGTATCAAAAGTTGCCTGAAACTCTTGGCTGAGATACAACAATGGTATTGATCCATGCTTACTGTAGATGCTGTACATTGACTGTTATACAATTCTCCAATCCACCTTCAAACAAACTGCAGTTGATTATTGCCAAACTCATCAAACTTGGACTTCTCTGTAAAGAACACTTTTTTCCAGGTTTCATCATCCCACTGTTTCATTTCTGTTGCCCATTTCAGTCTTTTTGTTTTATTGCTTCTCCTCAGAAAAAAAAATTCAAGCAGCTACATACTCACTGAAATCATTTTGGGTTAATGTGTATCTCATTAAAACCTGTACTTGCAGCACAGTCATTCACAAGATCTCCACTGGACCATCACTTATCATACAGAAAATTTACTCTGAAGAGCTTTCCAATGCTTTTGGATAGTTTGGGTTTTCTTCCTCAATGATGCCTGTTATCAACAGTACCAGTTTCATAAACCCTCTTCAAGGTCTTGCATATAGCACTGGGTGACATGTGAATTTGGGCTGAGATCTGTAGATAGGTGAAGCCTTCTTCAGCTAACACTTTGATTTCTATAGACTTGTCATGTGAAATTTCCTTCCCAGATATTATTGTGTTCACCACAAGTTTCAAACTCTAAAATAATATCACTTCATATACTTATATAGGCCCTGTGCTAGTTTGGAACTTTTATATTGATTGCATGACACCCAGTTACATTTTATCATGTCAAAACAACACTGCATTAGGCACCATTTCATTTTCACACAAAATGTATGTTTCTGTCATGTGTACAAATACTAATCAAAGAAAGGTGTAAAAACTAATGATATGCACACTTTAAAAGACAAAATGAGGTTCTTTTTCATTGATTTTCTTCAAGTATTTACTGTTGCTAAATACTGGAAACTCAAAGATTATGAAAACGTTTGGATAAGAAATTGTGCACACACACATACATATATATATAAAATTTAGAAAATACATGCAAGTATAAACAACTAAAAATTAGGTCAAAAGCCACTTGCATAATAACTGTTCTCTTTCACCACTGTAACAGTGAAAATCATGGTAAAAACATGCATGCTACCTAAATAATGTGTTCATACAGGTCTACATAAATCAGAGGTGGAACTGGGCTCAAATGCTGTGGTGGTGGTGAAAATGTGACCCTGAACATATTCTGAAAGGAAAGGAAACTAGCACAAGTCTAAGTTTTTTAGTTGTTTTTTTTACCCTGCACCTCTCCTATGTTCTGGCAGAAATATCATGGCCACTTCCCTGTACTATGCCAGCCAAAAGAAGACTCCCCCATTTTGATGCACTTGGTATTAAACCTCCATCTTGGGTTCTCCAAGTAATTTTTTTTCAATTCCACTACTGCATAAGACTCTATATTATGGTCATTCTTACATATTTGAAATGAAGTGTAAAAAATGATCAATACATGAGAATTTGCGAAGTTCTTTTTACTTGTACATTCATTACGATTTACCTTATGCATGCCCACTATATGGAAATGCATGCAAAAGTAGTAAGGATACAAAAAATTGGACAAAGACGAACAAAAATACTGAATTTAGTAATCAATATTAAAATGAGCCAAGTTAGCTTCAAAACCTTTATACATAAAATTTAATAAAAACAAACTTTTAATAATGAAAGCTTTTATAAACAATTTAATCATTTTTCCTGGGTTAAATGCACATACCACCTGTTATTGTGGTGATCTGAGGTCACAAATCATAAATGAAGAACAAAAGTAGAAGTGGAAACATTTTAGATAGTTTAAAGAAAATTAAATATGTAAAAGTAAACATGATATGTTGTTTTTCTCCAGGCAAATATCAAACCTATGAGTTAGTGACTTAACTCTTATTCATTAATTGTTTTATCAATAAAATATCAAAATGGCTCATCAGCTATTAATGGATTATGTCAAATATCAAGAGCGAAGAGAAACATAATTTGTGAGCTTTGAATTTTTCTTTTCTGATTCAAGTTACTTTCTGAAATTAATTTGTAATATTAAACTTCTTTAATTCATATGTGATTATTATATAGTTTCATTAACGTAACCAGAACCAATGCAAAAGCATATCCATAATAGAACAGCAGCTGACTCTCCAAGTAGAATTAAGTAGCTTGTAATGGTAAAGAACATTAAAGATCTGTGCAGCTTTCTGTTAAAACTCAAATTAAATATATATATATATGTATTTACCATTATAAGCATTTGAAGATGGCAATGCTTTGTTCACTCGACAGTATTTTTCCCCTTCTTTAGTGGCTTTTGCTGACCAACTACCTGTTATCAAATAATCAGCTACAGAACCAGTTGTTGTACACAGATTCATAGGTACAGCACTAAACTGCCCTGTACCTCCACCTTGAAGGAACAGAATATCATAATTTTCAGGTATGTTTCTGCAAATTGATGAAAAAAAAAAGGTATTAATGAACTTTGTTTTGAGACAAAATATCATAAACACACACACACACATACACACAATTTACAATCATAGTTTCAAGGAAATTTATTGTCATTATTATACAAACATATATAGAGGAAAAAAAACAATTAAAATGTTTATTCATGAGTATTTAAAAAAATTAAAATGCAGCTGACAATCTATAATGGCAACAAAATTAATATATGTGTTCAAAGAATTATTCATACTTGGGTGATAGCTAGAATTTTGACTATGCAGCCACAAGAAGAAATTAGCAAGACTGTTGTGTTAGAATCAACTACTTTAACAGTGTACAATTATTGACTGGTTATGACAGTAACAAATGATTCATTGCCCAAAATCAACAATTGTTTTATTCTATCATCCCTTTCTCCCCCTTCTTTCAGTTTTACTAAAATCTGATTAATTATGGCTGTCACATATATTAAGCTTACATCCCTGGGCCTACATGTTAAACTTAAAGTTTAAGATTTCATTGAAGATTTTGATCTCATTCTAAGGATAAATAATAAATCATTAAGATTTAGAAATTGTTTAATTTTCAAAATACAACAGTTCAGCTCATCATCATATTTTCATCACTTTTACCATTCCTTGGGATTTGAAGCTTAGGATCTCTGGAATTTTTAAATTAAATGTCATCAGATATTAGGATTTTTCGAGCTTGGCTTTGAAGTTCTTGGGATTTCCTAATCTCAAGAGTGGTAATGTGCTTATCATGCCAATAAACATATAAAGTAAGCAGTTATCTATCTTCAGAATCAAATTTGCCTAGAATATTGGCAAAACTTGCAACACTGTTTGTAAATTAGCCCTATCTGAATTGATTGTTTTCACTGTGTTGCAAAAAATTGTCTTCTACAAAGTTCTGCTGTCAGTATGCATAGAAATGGTCTTGACAACCAAGCAACATTAATGCAATTTGCAGACTAGATTTCAAGGCAACATTTAAAATGTATCATGTTATGTGATATGATCTTCGCCAATCACAACCAATAATCCATACTAAATATACATGTGACAATGCTAATTAATAAACTTTTAGTAAAACTAAAAACAGAAGAGGAGGGGTACAATGAAGCCATTAATGACTAGTGATTTTGGTCAACAGATCATTTATTGCCTTCATAACCAGTCAATAACTGTTCAACAGTCCATCAAAAATCAACAGTTTGTACTGAATTCTATGTCAAGTAGAATGATAAGGATCATAAATAAACTGTGTTGGCTGTTGGTTATCATATTGATTCATCTACGTATGTTAGTAACGCACTCACTGAACTGAAATAATTAGGAGAGTATGACTTATACATCACAGAGAATGCAAATAACTTCCCTTCTTTTTTTTATAAAAAAAAGTCATGTTTAAGTCATTTCAATGAGAAAGCTTTAATTTATAATTAAAGAGAAAGTTAAAATATTTTCTGGAGAAAATCAGTCATGAACATTAATTAAATCTGTGGTTTGCATAATGACAATCTTACGATAAAAACGTCTAAGCCAAATACTTTAGTATACATATTCATATTGTTGTAAAACGTTCTATCACTTGTGTTCTATGGTTTAGTGGATTCTTTTAGATTACTTGGTGAAAATAATGCAAAGTCCAGTCCCGTAATGATAAATTAGCTTATTTATTTTTTACCATTTACTAAAGTTATTATCACTCGTAAGTTGTAAACAGTTGTGGGTCTGAATTCTTCAATAAAATTTTCACCTTTAACAGACATTTACTTAATAATGCGTATGGTAGTACTACTACTAACGTAAAAATAAACTTACTTATTGTACAATTTCTTGGCAAACCGATCGAGTAATTGGGTGAATATACGCCACACCACAATTAACACTAACAGTGAATTGAATACTTCACTAAATTCTTTATCATCGAACGAACTGGAAACGAAACTCAATGTTTTACTGATTTTCACATTGATAATGTGTCCTTGTTTTTAGATATTTCATTAAATCTATCGACCATTAACATTCCCGAATATTCTTGGGCTAATTTTATACCAGTAATCTTTGTAAGTCTAGCGTCATCACAATGTTAACATATTACTCTAGCAAACAACTAAAATATTGAAAATATAGTTTACAATAATATTTATCGCAAAATGATGTGTCAAAGGGGAAAACGAATAAAAATGAAAAATATCTCAAGAACTTTGCTGCAAGATATTCTGAATTTAGTGTGTGTTTTTACAATATAAGTGTATAAAACATTTAGATTTTTTATAGTGGAAGAAGCTATTAAATTTTGCAGATTCTCCCTTCTCCATTTTGTTATTTATAACATGTGAACTTAATATTCTCTCTTGCTGACAGTGTAATAAAACAGCAGTATTAGAAAAACGTTAAATAACGTAGGCTGCATATAGCTGTTTTATATTAAAATAGTAAGTACGAACTAGTAAATTACCAACGAAATTTCGTGGGAAACAACTACATAAAAATCTTGTTCTGAAAGATCATTCACAGTTGTTGTCAGTTCTCAAATTTCAATTAAAAACACACTGCTAACCCTAAGTGACTCGCAAACCTCTTGATCCTCATTTTGAAATGTCTAGCATAAGAAACTTTTATAAATCTAAACATAGACAAATACCTTTAATGATTCCTTATATATATACTTATGCATTTAATGTAAATCCGTGGATCAAGTCCTGAGAGCCCCAAACTCCTTTGACCTCTGTATGGGAAGACCAATTTTAAACTTTTCAAGCTCGAAATTCAGACTGTTTAAAGCAGCTCCTTATATACTTAATATCAGTTTTCAAGAAAATCCGTTTAGTGAAAGTCTTTTAATGTATGGTTCTATGTTTAATTGATTTGTGAATGCCTACCATAACATTTGACGAAACGACTTTAATGGAGGGTCAAGGGGGTTTGAAAAGGTTCTCAGGATGTATAACTGAGACTATAGATATATACTTATTTGTTCTATATCGTTTTCTGAAGAGAAAACATGTGTGTATATAAATGCAAGTTAAAATATGGTAAACATTATTATTAATTAAAAAAACCACTTATGCCTTTATTCCATTATTCGTAATTAAAAACTAATCACTGAGTATAAGCAATTATTAATCATGGGCGTCCGCAGAAAATTTTCCAGGAGGGGGAGGGGGCAAATAATTGTGAAATAGTGAATTGAATAAAAAATCCATATACATATGCTGAACGAATAAAGAAATAATTATGTTTCTCATCTTCCAGGGGGCAAGTGCCCCCCCCCCCGAGGACGTTCATGTTATTAATTGTATTATTTTAACTTTAATTTTTACTAAAATTCTACAATTTGTTTATAAATGGCATTGTTACGAAACTAGTTCAAGCTATTAATCAGGTCCATCATGTTTAATTCACATAATGACGCGTTCGGAGTCATCCCGATGAGTTAGAACGTATATTGGTAACCCGAAATTCAATTTTCTAAATTCTGTGTATGCGACTCTGTAATCTATAAATTTGAGTCGCCACCTATTCCCAAGTATAGAAAAATTACTTTTACAGAGATATATTACGACATAAGTTACGGTAAAATCCACTACAGACCGAACATTGTATTAAAACATCAAATTCTTAAGTAAGTTCGAAAGCATCAAAAAATAACTTCTCAGCATGATAAAAAATAATGTGACTTTATCTGCTAGAAGCATAAATTTATTCATCTAATTTTTCATATTCTATAAAATTTCGCTATTAAGAAAAATATAGCAGCTTACAGTAGATCTCTTAGATCCTTCTTGGCCCCTTGCATGATGGTAGAAAACTGAGTTGACCGATGACTAAGTTCTGGGAAAAAAATACAGTCAATATTTAGCATGACTTACTTCTTCAGAGTTTATTATTATATCACGATGCATTTATAACTTCAACATGTAACTAAGAAATATAAAACTGGTAGTGTTAGTTAGTTTTGAGTTTCGCGCAAAGCTACACGAGAGCTATCTGCGCTAGCCGTCGCTAATTTAGCAGTGTAAGATTAGAGGGAAG